CTCGTTATTCATTATTTGAAAATGCTGCTAATGATACTGATTGCTTATTAGTCCAGCCGTTACCGGTGGATCGAGTTCGACTTATAAATGATACTCGGAAATATTACGGATGCGTTATAAATACAACAAAAAGAGGTTGGAATCTTCAGTGTAAGCGAAGATTTCCAGACTTTTATAAGCGAAGAGATGAGATTTCAGTCCATCCTGAAGGATTTCTATGTCTGAATGACAGAATTATTATTCCTCCAACATTAAGATCTGCGATTTTGGATGATCTACATTCTGCTCATCTAGGAGCTGATAAGATGAAATCATTAGCACGCCTAACATGCTGGTGGCCGGAAATTGATGCTGACATTGACAAAAGATCAAAGAGCTGTTCTAGCTGTTTACATAAAATGTCCTATGGGAAGTCATCGTGGACACCGTGGCCTGCATCTTGTGAGGTTTGGCAGGGTATTCATGCAGATTACTGTGGTCCATTCTTAAATTCATATTATGCTTTAGTTATTGTGGATTCTTATTCTAGATGGCCAGAAGTCATCATTACAGATAGTCCTAATGCCAAATTCACTCACAGAGCGTTGAGAAAGATTTTTAGTCGAGAAGGAATTCCAGATGTCTTAGTTACTGACAATGGTACTCATTTTACGGAGAAGAACTTCAATGATTGGCTCAAACATATAGGTTGTCGTCATTTGTATACAGCACCACGTCATCCTCAGTCAAACGGGTTGGCAGAAAATTTTGTACGAACATTAAAGAGTGCTATAGCATCAATGAGTCCTCAAAATCTTGATGAGCTAGAGAGATGTGTGGATAACTTCTTACTTCAATATCGCAATGCGGAGCATACAAGTACTCATGAAAGTCCTGCAAAACTATTCAAATCTCGAATTCTCAGAAAGCATCTGATGTCCACGACTTCTGATACATATTATTAGAGAGGGAATAACTATTGTCCTTGTCAATATAGTTGAAGATTGAACGATCGATTCATGGTTGTTTGCTCAAACCCATCTCCTCCATATTTTTCGCGGGTGTCATCAATCAGGCAGTTATCGTCTCATCGTCCGCTGTTTCGAGGAAGATAAAGGTCTATCAGAAGTATTTTCGTGATTTATTGTTATGAAATTTATTCTTAGACGTTGTATAATAACCTTATTGTTGGTTACATGTTGGCGTAGGAATAAAGGATTCTTGAGTAGCCAATCTGTGTTCTGATTTTTCGTGTTAGTTAGGACACATAGTTTCTTAAAGCCTTCCAAGGACACCGTGGGGTCCAGCGCAGTAAGACCTAGGCATTGATAGCATTATAAAACTTTGTAATCACAATGAGTATGGATATCAACTAACACGAACTTAGCTAACTTCAGTTCTGAGGAAATATAAGGAAGGTAGGATGGGTGTACACAAATTTGGCCCAATCACTCTGAATCCCTCAAAATATTGAAAATGAAGTGGCAAAAATTCGAAGACAAAGATATTTCAGTGATATTATCGCTGGAGCATTTTTCTGTTGAAACATTGTTAACTTGTAGACAACCCACGATTTGAGATTATATCATACTTGATCGTGCCTGTAAAAATGGCATGCATTTCCATATAAATTTATGTTGATATAAAAATATACATTATTATTTTTTATAAGTCCGGTTGATAGCGTTTGAGGGCTTCTTAAGCGAAAGTTTGATGGAAGGCCACAGATAGTAGTTTATGATATCATAAGCGGAGAAGAATGTACTTAGATGCGCCCAAAGACAAGAGTCCACTGAAATCAAACTAATTACCAGCAAAAGCCATTCGCGTAATGATAATAATATTAATGACGACACCAACAATAAGGAATCTAAATCACCACAGTAATTCCATACAAGGAAGGAACCTTGGAAGACTTACGTAGAATTCTTAACAAGGCAGGAATAAAAGTGGCTGGCATTCAAACCCACAAACCCTATTAGAAAGAAGCATTGTCGGTTAGAGGATCCTGTGGAGCCTTTAAAATTAAACAATTTAGTTTATCTAATACCATGCAATGATTATCAGGTCAAATACATAGGTCAAACTAGCAGAACAGGTTCAGTCAGACTAGCAGAAGATAAAAACCCAGCAGCTTAATCTAGATTGGTTGAACCAAATAAAATAAGAAATCTAGAGAATATTTCAGCTATAGCACTACACACAACCATACAGTAGGATCGTATGGGATGACAGTTTTAAAATCTAATGTCGCAGGGTGGAGGGATAGATTGATAACGGAAGCTTTGTTTATCGAATCAACTGCAAATACATGTAATAAGAGTGGTTCAACACCTGTCCCACATATCTGGAAAATTCTACTATCCCTACGACAAATAGAATGAGACAAAAAAGTAAAAAAACTCAAGTTTCAAAGTCGTGTGATTAAAACTGACATGATTACGAACAATAAATTTTGTTCGAAACGTCATCCAGTAAATAATACTGTTTCACTCTGTGACGTATCTAATAAACAAACTATTATGGAATTACTTACTGCCACGGTGCTCAAGTTCTACACATTTTAATAGGGTAATAAAAACAGGCTGCGCTTTCAGTTTGTAAAAGTTACATGCTATCATCACAGGTGAGGTAATATGTACTGGTGTGGTGAGAGCAGGCTGCTAGCCGATTGGTTGGCACTAATCTACGTTAAGGTCTAGGTCACTAATATGGGCCGTGAACAAGGCTGAGTCAACAACCAATCACAGCGAAGTTAACGTGGCAAAATATGATTCGCAGATAGAGAACTCTGTTTGTCAAGGAATCCCGAAACAACCAATCAGAAGCCTGCGTTTGTCTACCTAAACAACCAATCAGATGACTGCGCTTGTCTATAATAATGTTGTCTGAAATATGTATAAATACGTGTTGATTTTCATAATAAAACGATCTGTTGCCTGGCCCTTGTCTTCTGTTGTTACATTTGGTGTCGCTGCCTACCGACAAATGAAAAGCCTATACCCTGCAGTTTTTGATGGAGACATATGGATCTTCGGGCAGGACTTCAAGGCTTCTGCGCAGTTGAGTGGCGTTCAAGATCGGTCAGCGATGGAGCTGCTACTTGAGACGCTGCTGGGAGGTCGGGCGAAAGCAGCATATGAAGGTGTGGGCCGAAGGATGGACGAATGTTCGACAGGGTCAGGCAAACAGTTTCCAAAGTGGGAAGGACCATATATGGTCACTTCGAGATGGGGTTACGCAGACACAGTCGCAATGGCGAACAATGAGAGGCGCGTGAACGTCAGCGAGCTCCAGAAATGGATACAGCGAGACAAGCCAACGATGACGCCTGCACCAAGTAGATCAAGCCGACTTCAGTCGCACGTATTTGACGGGGGGACGAGTGTGGTGAGAGCAGGCTGCTAGCCGATTGGTTGGCACTAATCTACGTTAAGGTCTAGGTCACTAATATGGGCCGTGAACAAGGCTGAGTCAACAACCAATCACAGCGAAGTTAACGTGGCAAAATATGATTCGCAGATAGAGAACTCTGTTTGTCAAGGAATCCCGAAACAACCAATCAGAAGCCTGCGTTTGTCTACCTAAACAACCAATCAGATGACTGCGCTTGTCTATAATAATGTTGTCTGAAATATGTATAAATACGTGTTGATTTTCATAATAAAACGATCTGTTGCCTGGCCCTTGTCTTCTGTTGTTACACTGGTGGAGGCGTGAGTAATAGCAAGTTGTCAAGTTCAGAAGTAAATTCCTTCATATAACTTGGAGCTCATTCAGTAATACGGAATACTGTTCGCCACTACCTTGATATTAAGAAAACTCGTGAAACTACATTACTTTCTGACAAGATCATGAAAAAAAATACTGAGTTTTTAGGGATGTGTTGGTTAAACGTATAGAGAATAGGTGTATCTGCTATATATGAGGTGGGTGATATGTAGTGAAAACAGTAACGCCAGATTTTCCAAACTACGGACCGTCAAAGAAGGATATCTAAATCCACTCTGTGTTAGTCACAATGAGGGAGCATGAGAGAGGTTCATTAGACGTGTTCCCTGGTTTTTAGGCTCATTTTGTATGCAGAAACAATACCAAGTCGTAGACTGACCATGACACACGTCATCTTGGTGTTTTGAATCCCATTCACATTTTACTGCCTATGGCCCTAGCCAAGTTATGAAGATCGAGACGAGCTTATGTGAAAATTGGTGATGATGGAAGAATGCTTACTTCCTCGCTGATGTCATTTAGAGAAAATGAAAGGGGGAATAAGAACAAAGACTTCGGAGAATTCGCCTCTAAAAATCGTTATACTTCATTGGATTCCTACATAGTCTGCACTAATTACATCCTGTATTATAGTTTTCTCCTTTTGACCATCCCGGAAGACTTATGGGTGGAAGGATCAACTTTATTCACTGCAGTGACACGGTCTCAGAACATCGCGTACAACGAACTACAGACAGCCAGTCCCCTCAACATTTCTCTTGGAGTCACCCAAAGCTACAGCATTCGAGTGGAGGATAAACTAACAAGAATTTTAGCGAAGATTAGGAACTTTTATCTTTCACCCAAGAAGTGAATCCACAGAAATCAATTTGCTTTACACTATATCGTGTAAGCGATATTAAATCAGGATTAGAGAAGAGGCGTATCTAAAGCTCGTAAATGAAGTTGAGTGTAATGGCGCAAACACGCTGTCTTGTGTTATTCGTCACCATTTCACTGAAAGCATTAGTTATGTGGGGTGATAACATTAGATATAATTAGTCAGTTCCATACTCAGTCACGCCTTACTGGTGAATCAGAATCTCACATGCAGTTTAGGAAATGATTTCTGGAAGACTTAGTGTATCTGTCTTCCTTTAATAAACTTACAAATATGCCAGGAAGACATAGATAGCCGAAAAAAATTTAGCATATTTTCAATCAAAGCCTTGTATATTGAATCGGAAATCTCAGGTATACATACTGGCGGCAGTTGTAAATTTCGCGGGATGGAGTACTTGCAAAAGTATATGGAAGGTTCGCGGCTATAGTAACCGTTTTTAGATGTATATTTGTTTGATTAGATGATATATGTGTCCTTATGCCATTTAATAGAACGCCAAGTGTATTATATCTGAGATAATGACGTAGTTTCTATTCAACATTACCATCTGGTGAAGTAATAACTTCAGTGCAAAATATTTAGACGTCTACATAATATCTTTCAAGTGTGACAGCTGAGCAAATTAGTCCTTTTAGCTCAGTATCTAGTACAGGGATTGATGGAAACTGTATATGTGTAACAGTGATTCAGAATGAAATTAGTGATATAATTAAGCCCTTAAACTTTGATGTAGACTCTTTGTGTTGTCTTAAAACACTGAAGTGTGTTTGTGATGTTCCCTTTCTATGAATATAAAGTATTCACCTCATCCTAAGCGGCGCATTTATAGATTTCATACATGTCGTGTTAGCTATAATCTGCCTCATCTGTAATACAACTCACTCTAGAGAAGGCAATTAATTTTACCGTACTGGGGTGTCTAGGTATCTTTTAAGTGACACTGGACTAACTATGATATGAAATTGTGATACATATGTATATATCATGTCAACATAAGAGAAAGCTTATTACTTCTTTGCCACCAGTTTTTGATGCTAAGTCCACTTTTGACTAGTTGCTGCATACATAAACACCGACATCAAATCTGTATTAATTATCTGCAACTACATTGCAGCTGGTGAAAACACAGTATGCTTGTTGCAAAAAATGATCATTTGCTATTTTGAAAACCGAATTCTGAATCTGTTCGTTGTCGAACCTGTACAAAGTTAATGTGGCATTTACCAACCCGAATTTCGGTTTCGGTGTTTCATCCAATTTCTTACCAAAAGTCATTTCTGTTCAACGTTAATCTGAGTTCTGATTGGCATTTACGGAACGTAATAAAACTGATAAATTAGTTTGCAGGTCAAGGTAGAACTTTGCATAAATATGCACCAGTTCAAGTCCAACTTTCACTCTTCAAAAAACACAAAGAAAATAGAAAAAATCATACTGCTTCAGATAAACATGCTTTCAGCGAAGAGAATGATTATATAAGGACTTTTTAATTTTCTTGAAAAACTCGAGATGGCAAATAGTGAATACATTTGTGTCATTGTGAAGGATTCTGAACTATCATAAAGAATCCCTATCCACTGATTAATATAGAGCTATTCAGTAATCCCATCCCCCAATGTAAGTCACGCTAACAGTATAACTTCATATATTAGTACCGTGTGTCGGCGTACTTATTGCATAACACATTTCCTAACCGTTTCAGTTAGTGAAGATCCGCAATTTCATCGACCAGACTCGAGTAGAGATAAGGCGTAATTGTTTGAACACAACTTCCAGCTAGTGGGACTCATGTTGGAATCAAATTAAATGACTAAATAATATCACTAATCTTCACACATCTCTAACTATTCAGTCATGCTAACTCGTAGGTAGTGTTAGGTGCACAAGTACCAGACTTTAAATTTATCGAGCCTCCTGGCTTTGAATCTCAAAACTGTAAAAGGCCTTTATCAACCACTCCTGGGAATAGACACGTTACTTCGTTTGCCTCCACTATATACTTCAGAAGTCCTTACGGTACTGTCTAAGTCTGTTTATTTGGTCTGCTCTTGCACTATCATCAAATAAATATCCAACCGTGTACTCAGCACGTGTATGATTAACTCGTTTAAATTTCGCCAATTTTACTCGTCTTCGGTGTACATATGAGGTAATCTACTGCTCACTTAAATATCATGTTTAACGGGAAGTAGCTCATTCTACCGTACTTCACCGCTGAGAAGTGGTTGCTGAAACTATAAGGTATGGGAAAGAATGCAAGTCTTTGTTTATACGTGGATCCACATGGTAAGCAGTGCTAAGATTTGTTACAAAGGGGTATGAATCTTTGTTAGTTGAGGTAGCTGGGATGTGTAATGCATTCCTGGGTTTTTTTTATTCATAAGTGAATAACATGTTCGTAGGTTCACTTATTTCTGTCTAAGGCTTTTTGTGCAATTCAATTTTTGTAGTCGTAAACAATATCAAATAAACTAGATATTATCAGGTACTATTGCATGTAACATACCATATAAGGAACATTTTACTTTTCTCATTTTTGGAAATTGAAGAGGTGTAATAACTCGAATTGATTTGTCGTTCATGTGACGCGAAGCATTAAATTTGTTTCTTATGCTATAAACAATAAGACATCTTGTCACAACCGTTGACATATTTTATTCCGAATCTCCTAGGCATAATGCGGTTGAAACAAATTACCATACTAGCAGAGGTGAAACTCATTGACTCTAATTCTCCAGTTTAAGCCATTGGTTTCCGGTTATGAATCTTGTTCCACTCAACTTAACTTCATTAGTATCACTCGTTGTCCGAAAGCTGCTACCTTGACGTGGTGGTCGGGCTCGGACACCTCAATGACCTATTCAAGCTATACTGGCTGAGACTTATATCTCTTGAGGTCCTGCCATGCCAGAAAGGTTGTTTGGATAGCGGTTAAACAAAAAGCAGCTGCCTAATCCAATACTATGATACAAACAAACAAAATATCATGCCGGATCGGTCGGGGTCCGGATTAACAAGGACCGCGCTTCCTGCTCCCGTGTCACAGAGCAGAAGTGATAAATATGCTACTGAGACACACCAAACAATAAAGAACAAACAAAGGCAGGCCGCGTGTGACCGGCCCCAAGCAGTTGTCCCCTGGGCTCTGCGGTCACGCAACCAACTTCCACGGTGTGGGCAGCCGGGAAGTAACAATCGCCCTCACAATCCGAAATGCACGCGAAACCTCTCTATTACTCACTCATCTTTGTCTTCTTCATCTCTATCATCTTGCCTTCCTTCCACTTATGCAACTCCTCTACTTGATAGCTCTTCACTTCCTCTCCACTCTGCGTCCACTAAAAACGATGGAAACCGAAAAACCACCACCGACAGCCTCCTAAAGCCACGCCACCAATTTCATATAGGAGCATTTAATGTTAGGACACTTTACCAAATGGGACAATAAGCATCACTAGCCAAGACTCTGGCATCCCGAGCCATTGATGTATGTTGTGTTCCACAAACACGCATACAAGACCCGAATGTGGTTATTCACCTAACCCCACCTGGCCAACAGGTTGAATCTTCAAAATTCACCTTGAGGATGTCAGGAGGTGGCACAGCTAGTTCACGAGGATTAGCTGGTGTAGGGACAGCTTTGAGTACTAGGGCAGAAAAGACATTACTTGACTGGATTCCGGTAGATAGCCGAATGTGTGCTGTCCGCCTGAACGGGTCAGTAAAAAGGAGAAAGGACTGCACTACTCGCCAATGCCTTTTCGTTATCTCTGCCTACACCCCCACTGACTGCAGTTCGGATGAAACGAAGGATGAGTTCTATCAAAAGCTGTCTAGTTTGCTGCGAAAGGCTAAACGCTCAGATATAGTCGTTCTAGCTGGTGACTTTAACGCTCAAGTAGGGAAATTGTGTCAATCTGAGAAGAATGTCGGTGGCACCTATGGAGTTCCGTGCCAGCGAACCGACAACGGTGACCGTCTCCTACAGTTCTGTTCTGATAATCACTTGTTTCTTGTAAGCACTAACTTCAAACACAAGGAGAGACACTGTTTGACCTGGCGACCCCCATCATCAAACCAACACTGGACACAAATAGACCACATAGGAATAAGCTATCGTTGGCGTGGGTCGGTAGGAGATTGTCGCTCCTTCTGGAATACGTGTGTAGATAGTGACCACGCACTGATCCGCGTTCGGGTGTGCTTGCGGCTTAACGGATGTAGGAAACAGCTGGCGGTAAAACCATCACGTCCCCAGTTCGACCAGGAAACTAAATCCCTATTTGAGGAAGAACTAGCTAAACATAAATCTGAGTTAGACAGCTGTGCTCACCCTGAAGAAGCTTGGAAGAATATTCAGCCAGCCGTAAATACAGCTGTAAAAGCTGTGAATAAGGTAAATCCAAAGGTGAGTGAAAACCATTGGATTTCGACTGCCTCATCCGAACTGATAGATGCTAGAAGACTTATTCCGGTGAGCTCCGAATTCAATGAGGAGCGAAAGCTGCACAAAAGGGAACTTACGAAAAGTCTCCGCAAGGACCGTGAATAGTGGTGGCTGACAAAGGCGAAAGAGATGGAGAAAGCATCAGCGATAGGCAACTCTTTAGACTCATCAGGGAAACGGGTGGGAGATGGCACATCATTAGTGAAACAATCTCGGAATAAAGTGGCACTATAATTAGCTCCCAGGATAGACGACTGGATCGCTGAAAAGAGCACTACGAGGAGGAGTTTAATTGGCCCACAGCCACTCTCAACCTTCCGAACATCCAACACCTCCCTGAATGGGATATAGACACAGGTCCTTCGTCCCTAACTGAGGTTACAAAAGCTGTCACCAATCTGAAACAAGGCAAAGCAGCGGGACCTTATGGAATCACTCCTGAGATATTTAAGTACGGTGGAGACAGTTTACTGTCTGCATTAACTGAGGTACTAAGCAGCGTCTGGGAATCAGAAGAAGTCCCATCGGGTTGGTGTAAGTCACTGATTATCCCCATATACAAGAAGGGAGACAAGTCTTCCTGTGATAATCACAGAGGGATTAGCTTGACTAATATAGTATCTAAAGTCCTAGGCTCAATAATCACGCGTAAACTAAGTGGTGCTCGTGAGGCACAAACACGAGAGCCAGGCAGGCTGCTTCAGACCAGGAAGAGGGTGTATTGATCATATCTTCACCCTCCGACAGATTCTAGAACATAGGCATTCCTACCGACAATTCACTATATATATATATATATATATATATATATATATATATATATATATATATATATGCAGTCTTCTAAACACCTTGAGCCGCAATCTACGAATGTTTGGCATGCGATTTGCTCCCGTCAAATGCAAGATGATGTTACAGCACTGGACTACACTGACTCCTAGTTTAGAAATAGAGAGTGAAGTGGTAGAGCACGTTGATCGCTTCACTTACTTGGGAAGTACTATCAGCCCCAACGGGCTGATCTCTGACGAAATCTCAGAACGGATACAGAGGGCTAGTTTCGCATATGCCGGTTTACGCCAACTCTGGCGTAGACGAGATGTTCGGCTATCGATCAAAGGGCGTGTGTACTGCTCATCAGTCCGCTCCGTCCTCCTTTATGGCCGGCTGTGAGACCTGGCCACTGAGAGTGGAAGACATGAAAAGACTAGCTGTCTTTGATCATAGGTGCCTGCCTGCGTTCTATCTCCCGTGTAAAGTGGCATAATAGAGTGAGCAATATTGAGGTTAGGCGTCGAGTTCTAGATAAACAGAGGAAATCAATCGACGAGGTTGTGAAGTTACATAGACTCAGATGGTTAGGACATGTGTTACGTATGCCTAGCCTAGTCATCGCCTTCCTCGACGAGCAATGTTACCTGATATAGGGTCAGGCTGGAAAAGAGCTAGCGGAGGTCAAACAAAAACATGGCCGAACCAGTCAATGAAATCTACAACAGTTGGTCTAAGCCACGTAGGAAGGTGTAGACTTCCAGGCTGGGGTCCTCGGGACGGTAAAAATCTATGGTTGGAAACAATTGGTGATATGGCTCAAAATCGTTCTCAATGGCTGGCGCAGATGCATCCACTCCTTGTGACTTATGATTTCCAATGAAACTGTTTTGTTCTTCGTTATTACTCTTCCTTTGTCTCACACCTCTGCTTACTGTCTCTATTATGCTTTTCTTGTACTTTCTTCTCTTGCTTCGTGTGCTACACGGAGTGTGGCGACTTGAAGTGGCGCACATTTGTGCAAAGTTCTATGTCGAAAACAGACAGACAGACTCGCTGTCAATAGTTGTGACTCCTGGTGTGGTACATGAAAGTTCTGAGTTTTAACTATTTAAATAATTTATTGCTCTAAATGTAAGATGCTGATATCAGCTAAGATACATTGCCCTAATTATATAGTATTGTGACAGACGATTGAAATTCTCAAGACCTTATTTCATGTCAAGTTGAAGCCTCCAGGAGTAGTCCTTTGAGGAAAACACCCGCTTTAGTCTGGGCATCGAAACAGTATCTCAGTTGGCATATGAAACATGAAACCACAAATCGATGGCTACTTTTAGAAAACTTGTCGCTAGTGCAATATTTAACACGGTTATGATACCATGTTGCGTCCAGGCTTGCCATCTACAACATTCGCACGTTAATGCAAATTGGACAATAGATAGGCCTCGGCAAAACTCTAAAAACTTCATTGCGGATGTACACTGCGTTTCAGAAACCTGAACGCACGATTCCCTTAAAGTGCTTTGAATAACTTTTTATTTACAAGCCGAAATAGTATGTTGCATGTTCGCATATCCGAGGACTCTGTAACATCAGCGTCCTACATATCTAATGTTGATATCGCTGACTGACTGGTTTCAACGTAGAACTTTGCACAGATGTGCAGTAGTTAGAGTCGCCACATTTCAATTAGCACACAAAGCAAGAGAAGAAATTGAAAAGACAGGGACAGTAGAGACATAAGTCAAAAAGAATAGTAGTATCGAAGTATAATATATTTGTATTGGATATTGTAAGTCACAAGGAGTGCATGCATCTGGACCATTGAAAATGACTTTGAGCCATATCACCGATTGTCTCCAGCCACTGGTCCCTACCGTCCCGAAGACCCCAGCCAGGAAGTCTACACCTCTCTACGTGACTGGCTCAAACTAACTGTTATGGATTTCACCGACTGATGAAGCCATGTTTCGGTTTGACCACCAGTGGCTCTTTTCTAACCTGACCCTATGTCAGCCAACATTGTCCATCGAGGAAAGCGATGGCTAAGCATAAGTAATACATGTCCTAACCATTTCAGTCAATGTAACTTCACAGCATCGTCTATTAATTTTCCCTCCTTACCTAGAAGTCGACGCCCAACTTCAATATTGCTCACCCTGTTATACTTCACACGGGAGATGGAAGGCAGGCACACATGATCAAAGACAGCTAGCCTTTTCACTTTCAATGGTCATTTCTCAGGGCCATAAAGGAGGACGGAGCGAACTACTGAGCAGTACACTCGCCCTTTGGTCAACAGCCAGCTAGATATCACATCTACGCTAGAGATGACGTAGACTGGCATATACTAAACACGAGCCTTCTGTATCTTGCTGAGGTTTCGTCAGCGATCAACCTGCTAAAGCTAGCTGATGCAGCTTCCCAGATAGGTGAAGTAGTCAACACGCTCCACCAACCAATTCACTCCCTGTCAATGTAGTCCAGTAGTGTAGCATCATCTTACATTTGACAAAAGGAGTGAATCACACGCCAAACATTCAGAGATTGCTGCCTGTCAAGGTGTTCAGGAAACTCTGCTGCATTTTGTCAGTGTCTTCACCTAGAAGGACTATATCATCTGCATATTCTAAGTGGAAGAGATTGTTCTTTGGTAACAAGTCAATCCCTGAGTCACTAAAGTCAGTAGTTGGGGTTGAGTCGATAAGTACACCTATGGTGGAATTAAATAGAAATGAGGACAGTAGACATCGCTGATGGACACCACTGGTTGTCATCACTTCAGGTGACAACTCGCCGTAGACTTTCATCTGGCTTACTGCATGAGTTCGAGTAGAGTGAGTGTCCTGATCAGTGCAGTTTATTTTCTCGGCATTCCCTCCACAGCTAAACATCGCCATAGTACCTCTCGGTCGACATAATCGAATGCCGTATGTAAGTCAAGAAATATGACGATTGTTGGACGCCGGTAAGTATGGCTGTTCCAGAATCTGTTGAAGGGTCAAGATATAATAAATATACCCTCTTCCTGGTCTAAAACCTGCCTGGTTCTCTTATGTTTGTTCCTCCCGAGCACCACTTAGTCTACGCATTATTATTCAGCCAATAACTTTAGATACCATATCGGTCAAGTTAATTCCTCTGTGAGATTTTAAATTATCTAATCTAATAAAATTAATTCCCTGTGATTGCCACAGGAAGACTTGTCTCCCTTCTTGTATATTGGGATAATAACTGACACACCAGCCCGAGAGGACTTCCTCTGATTCGCAGAAGTTGCTTAGTACCGTAGTTAACGCACATAGTAAACTGTCTTCACCGTCATTAAGCACCTCCGGAGTCATTCTATCGGGTCCCGCTGCTTTGCCTCGTTTCAGACTAGTGACAGCTTTTGTAACCTCAGTTAGTGACGAAGGGCTGGTGTTTATATCGTTCAGGAAGGTGTCGGATGTTCGGTAAGTTGAGAGTGGCTGTAGGCCAATTCAATTGCTGTTCAGTGTTCTTTTCAACTTTCCAGTCGTCTGTCTTGGGAGCTAATTATGGTGCTAATTTTCTCACAGATTGTTTCATTTATCATTTGACTTTTGCCATCTATTTCTCTGATAAGCCTAAGTAGTTGTGTGGTATTACCAATCACCAATCCCTTTTCCGTCTTCTTTGCTCTTGATAAGCATTCTTCTGTTTTCATAATACTGTTCCTCAGTTATTATGCTTCCTTTTTACTCATATTATTTTATTATTTGTATGTGGCGCACCAAGTTGATGTCTTTTTATATAAATAATTTCCATCTGTTGACTTCCATTCACAACTGTAAGAAAGTATATGTTCCGTCATTTGACCACAAAGGTTATCGGAAACAGTGTAGATGAGAGACATGAAACAATTCCATCGAAGACTACATGATGATTCGCTTGTAGTCTACTTATATCATACACAAGGTGTGACCATTTGAATGCTTCTAAAATAGTAACGCTTACAACTTTGGTTTGTTTATAAAAATTAAGACTTAATGTAATAACCAAATCTATTGCCAAATGTCCTCTGTATACAATATAACTTAGATAACCTGCTTATGGTACCCTATACTGCAAAATAGTTTTCCATAATACAGTTTAATAATTTTCTACTTTTATATACCTATGTCTGAAATACTTTTTAAAACAATATAGATTTAGAACATCTGCCACCACATTTACGGCAAGAATTTGAAATTATGCGTGATCTTGATCAAAAAGTCCAGGATATTATTCGTCAAATACAACAACGAACAACATATTTATTTGAACATGCAAATGACATGACCAAGGAAGAACGAAAGGCACAAATTGAACAAATACGAATTTTATTTAAAAAAGGCAAAGAAATCAGTAATGATAAAGTGTCCAGGGCTGAAAGTGCATATGAACTGGTAGACAAACAAATATGTCGACTTGATGCTGATATGTTTGAATTCAAGAAAGCCCTAGGTAAGTGTGTATGGGTACTAATTACACTAAAATTTCAGCGGAGAAAGAATCTAAGAAAGTTAAGAAAACACGAGCGAGACGAGAACAAGAACAGCCAAAGTCTCCTAAGTAAGTTTTGAACCCTATCACCTTAAAAGTAAACTTGTAAATATTCAGTGTTATATGTAGTTAAAGATTAAGAACCCTGTGGTTTTTTCTCGTGTATCAACCTCTTTAGATAATTGAATGACACCTTATGTTGGTTTAAAGTGTAGTATTTCATTTTAAAACAGAAACGACATTCCAATAAAGGAAAGAAGTACCTGTACTCTCAACCCTGTTATCTTAAGCTCTTGTGAATCAGTTTTAATTAATCTGCTTGCAACGAAATATGTGGATCACCACTACTCGTTTTATAACAGGTCTGCAACGACGCTTATGAGTGATTATGTACTACGTTTTCATTTCTCCCTATTTTACCGACCATGTTCTACAGTCACGAAGTAAGATAAAGTAAAATTCTGTGCAGTAGGCTCTCCATGCTGATTTTTGCAACTGGATTTAAAGCAAAATTTATTGCGTTATGTGTATTTCTAATTGATCAACCGTCAAAATCTAAGTAGATACCTAGATTGCTTTTGACTTCTTTCGTCTAGCGATTTCAAAACAAGCATCTAAATTAGATCAGTGTAGCATATGACTATGTGTTACAAGCCCTGTAGAGTTAGGACACACCGGTTATTTATCCCAAAATATAATCAGTTGCGTGATTTGACTTCGTTTCCATCATACTGGACCAAATTTCAGTATAAAATTTATTCCGAAATCACACTACGTCCCCGTGATGGGGGGATCAGAAATATCCTCTCTTGAGTAAACATAATAGAAAAAAGCACAGCTGGAAAAAATCAAGATTCTATTAAGAACCGGTAACTGCGCAAAACTATTTCTTTTGGCGGCAGAAGCTGGTGACCTTAAGAATTGCGGTTTAGCATTTTATGTAATCTAATCCCACTGTAAATACATCCCAAGAATAAACCAAAATAATCATAAATTCTTCCTGTTTTGTTTTTCTAAAATATTCTTCCCTGTTAATTATAGGATCCCAGCTACTGCAGCATTGGCACTTGCATTGACAAACAATCCTAGGGAAGTATTAGATATGCCAGTCGATCCAAACGAGCCAACATATTGTGTATGTCAACAAGTATCCTACGGTGAAATGGTCGCTTGTGATAATCGTGATTGTCCAATCGAATGGTTCCACTTTGACTGTGTCGGATTAGTGAATAAACCACGTGGACAATGGTTCTGTCCACAGTGTATAGCTCAAGGATTTTCTTCGAAGAAAGATGACTGAGAAAAGCATTATCATCGTCATCTTAATCATTAACGTAATTTGAACAGTTTTTCCTTTATTTTCATCACTTACTTTTTGTACTTTGAAACGCTTAAAAGTTGTATATAGACTTTTATCTTATCTCCCTTACTTCAATTGTGTATGTCACTTCGTGTAAATAGATCCATACTTCATTGTCTACATTTCTTCTAATGTTTACTTAATTTTTCTATTGAAACAGGCACACTAACTTATCCATTTTCGATACTTGTATTCCATAGTGTTACCTACAAATATGTTAACACCAAATAGAAAGACTAAAAGAAGTTCTGGTGTTTATGCTGCCTTTAAATCTCCATTAAAAGTGGTCGGTGAAAATGAAATGTCCACCGATGCCTCCGATGTTCGAAGCAGTAAAATCCCTAAAAATCTAAGTAGTAGTGACGTAAGTTATTTTGTCAATAGTGTTTCCTGTTGTTTTCCTTTATAAGATGGTATTTCTTTTTGCTAACGGGGAGTGGTTTAGCAACATTATTTTCACAGAATTACACAATTGCAACTACTCATAACTTCTTATGCTAAGTTACTAAGTTACGCTATGTTTTATAAATGATTATAGAAATCAGCAAAATAGGAATATCCATCTTAGAGATGTTATAAATAATGAAAGTTGTCATAGAAAGAGATGAAAGTGTATAGTGTAAAGTCATTGGAATTCATGTTAGTTGGTTTACCATGTCGACTACTTGTTCAGTCGTATGTTTTAGTTCTATGCTTTATTGGTGAACTTTTGCTTATTTTCAAGTTGATTTTATTTGTTAGTTGCAGTTGTTCTTTAACTTTCTAAACATTATATACGGGGAATTTCACTATTCAAATGACAGTAGTAGATATTCAGTGGATATTTTGAGATACTATGAGAACTTTTGGGTACACTAGTTGAGTTCGAGTTGCTTCCGAACATTTGCATAGGATACGTGGTTGTGTAGTTTACAAGGCGTTCTTAGGCAACATAGGTGAACCATTTCACAGAAAAATTGAGAAGAACAATAGGGTTCTTGGTTTACAGCACTATTCGGAGTCTTCCACTTTACCATGGATACAAGTGAAAATTTATGAAAATTAGTTCACACAGAAAGTCAAACAAGAACTATCAGTGTATTTTTAAACACTCAACAGCAATTATTTGAATAAATAAAGAAAATAACCAGGGAGTGATTTACAATTAATGTTAATGTCCATATAGAGCAAACGTCTTGGGTTATAGAATCAAAACTTCCCTATGAATTTCATTATTTGCATTTATGTTTATTGAAAGTAGGGAAAAATCAATTTCAATCGATTTTTGCTCCGCGAGTGTAGTCCCCTCACTTTTTCAATTCAGAATCCAGAAAACCTAATTCTAACCGTTTCACACTTCAAGGGCAAAATTGATGGTCTGTTGACAGAAACTGAAAACCTTGAAAAAAAAATTGTTTATCGATTTTAATAGACCCACTCACATAAACACAAAACAGTCCATACCTAATTGACTTAAGGAAGGATTTGTCACGACATCCATCTTCCCGGTGACATTAATGAACATGTAGAGGTGTGGTACTGTAAAATTTATCCGTTATTTTTGTGTCCGCATTTAAATTAAGTGGTTTGCGTAAATGGGACATTAGCGAAGCGTGACCTGATATCAGGTGATGTCATTGGCGATGCTAGATACTTTGACTAATATTACAGAGTTCATTCGAACTTCCAAACTTAGTCAAGTGCATAAACCGGCTTAGTTTGTTGGCAACCAATGCAAATGATGCATTCCTTTCTTAATATCTCTTCTAAGTAGTCAATCACTTGCCTATTGTATAATCTCATTAAATTATTGTTCTGTCAGTGTAATTTTGTCTTTATGGTTAATGGGTTAGACATATACTTTCAAACATTGTACATAATTGTGTTAGTAAAGTTTTGTGAATCGAAATCACTAAAAATATCGGTGCGTCGGTGGCACAGTGGTTAGGACTCTCGTCGACCATGCACATGGTCCGAGGTTCGATCCCCTGCCGACGCACACGCGATATTTATGGTCGGCCTGAAAAATTTGGGCTACCGATATCCATGCTGAAAATTCTTTATTACTCCTTTGTCTCACACCTCTGCTCACTGTCTCTGTTATGCTTTTCTTGTGCTTTCTTCTCTTGCATCGCGTGCTACACGGATTGTGGCGACTTGAACTTCCGCACATTTGTGCAAAGTTCTATGTCGAAAACAGACAGATGCTGAAAATTCCATACTTGTACCAAAAATACGGTGTGGAATCAAGCTGTAATAAAAAAAATAATAATCTAAACCAGATATTCCTGTTTGACTAATTGTATGTAGTCGAAACCTTTTCTGTGGAGCGATATTCCTGAATCTGTACTCTAATTATGTGGTTGCGACATAGTCTTTTTCTATGAAGATCCTAACATTATTCAAAGTCTTTTGAAATGTCTTAAGCAAAATTAAAGTAATCTTGGCATATGCTTCGCTCTTGCCGAATGTAACTCCCAGTTTAAAGTTAATATTGACTGTTTGCTTTATTTTGGAAGTTGTATCAGTTTTATTCGCCTAGCTTTTAACAATTGTTGTGCATTTATGTAAAAGTCTTGTTTGATATCGGTGAGATATCCCTCTACCACCTGCCTTCTAGGTTTTCTAAAAAATATCATCCAACAGGGAAATCAAAAGCAAGGGTTTCTGTTCATTTAGCCTCTCAGCTTTTAATAAATTTGTTTAAGAAACACTAGTTTTCCTATTCAAACTGTAAATTTAAATAGAAAAACTAAGATTATTCTCTGTAATGCTCCTCGTAAATTTGTTTTTCTTCCGTTTATAATCTGCGAAGGGCTGCAGTAGTTAATATTCCCAATACAACTGGTAAGCCTTACATACATTTTCAAAGATAAGTACAACTGTAAACTCATAGTATAAGTTACCAAATCATTTGATCAGTTCTTTAAATAAAGTTTTGGCGCTATTTATAAAAGAAACTAGGAGTAATTTTCTTTATATAAACATATAGAAATCACTCTGGATTTCAATGTAGGTGGCTAGTTATTGACTGGCGGTCGAAGACAAGCTTGATTTTAAAGTGATATATGGTTTAAACTGTTCTGAAATATTAACTTCAACCTTTTAGATATGTGGTATATCATCGTTTTGGTAAAAGGTCTTAATGCTGATGACTCAAATGGGTTGGAATTGCTTCTGACCGTTCATAAACAAGTCAGGTCCCCCCTCCCCGCGTCTCATTTCTTCGTTTTAACAAATAGTTCTGTGATCTTTGCTCAATTATTGCTTTTCGCTTAATGAGTTCATGAAAACGTGGATTTTATACATAAGATTGTTTTTGTAGCTATAATCGGCTGTTTTCTCACTGTTTTTATTAACACATATCTGTTATAGTACATGGCTACCGTATAAGCCCACATGACGCGCATGCTTATCGACCCCAAAAATTACTATCTATCTAAAGCGTCGTATTAAAATTCCACTTGTAGATATCTGTTATGCAGTATGTCAGTAGGAATGACTTCCAGAAATCTAAATAAATTCCAGACTATCTGCTGGTTGAAAAGACTCAAGTTAAAGAAATTTATATATTTTAGCGACTTATTGAGAAAGCAGACTTGCAGTTTTCTGCTCAATTGTTTGCTTGCTTTATAAGAATTCTTAAACAGGAATAAAACGGAAAGTTTAAGAAAACACCTAATTATTGCCAAAAATAGAAAGTCTTAATTAAAAGCTTGTAACAGACCTAATGTGATACAAAATAGTGGACCTTGATAAATCCTTCTAAACAACCGCACATCCCTAGTTTCATTGCAAGTCATTATAATTACAAAATATCATTTTTCTTGGAAATTTTGTCAAATACAAGTATTTAAGGGTTAATGCGTAATTCAGCAGCTTGAATTGTTGTACAAATAACCAGAGAATTTTTGTCGTACGTATGATAAATTACCAACTGCTGTTTTTCCATTCCTTTCTCTCAGAGTGTTCAGATGTCTGGCTCTGTGTTTGCTTGTCACTCAATCCTCCCTAACAGATCTTGATATACGTAGAACTTTATGAAATATGAGCATTCTGAAGTATTCAAATGAACTGACTGATTCTTTAACGGGTCAACGTTGAACTCTGCACAGATGTGTGTCAGTCTAAGTTGATAGACACAAAAAGGGGATAATTTAAAGAAGTATAACAAAGACGCTCAGGATTTTGTAGATCATATGGGTTGAATACATTTGCTGCGTTGTGGACTATTTTTAATCATGTTAATAAGAGTATCTAGTTGCCAATGCTTAGTATCCTGTGAATCCCAGCCACGCTACCTTCTCATACATACATGGATTAGACCATCAGTTAATCTCTGTATGGACTTTTGCCAACTATAGTTTATGAGCATTTGCAATACTACCTTTTTAATAAATCAGGTATGCGACTATATAATATTAATGGTTTTATTATACACACCGAATACAGTTCAATGTTTAAATAGCTATATTTCGCTCGATAAACCAGTTTAAACTAGAATAAATAATTCAGGTCATTGGGCAGAGGCAAAAGCATTACTGTACTGCGATTTTACAACCTTGAAGCCAGCCAGGTTTTGTGCAATCACTTTAAGAAATTTTTATATGACTTGTAAACCATCACCAAATAGGTGACGAATGATATGGATACTGTTGTTTGTTTTCTGTAACGCCACAAAATCTGATATGAGTTGATATAACCAGCATTCATAATAACGCTGCGATTGGCATTTGATACGATAAGGCAATAAGTAGTTCGTCTAAATTTCCAAGAGTTAGTGAATAAGGAATTGATTTGTTTCAAGTTTGACCATGGATTGATATAAGTCAAGGAACCATTGAAAACCAGGGAGTGATGGACAGCAAGCTATGTCGTCCTTGTTTAGGACTCATTGGCAACACATACCCACTGGGATTCGGACCTAGGATCTATTTGTTACAGGCGCGTAGCCCATTCAGCCACTGGACCATGAATTTTAGCTTCTACTAATTCGTGATTTCACCGCAACCACCAGTCAGTGTTAGAGTTCAGGGGGGTTTGAGTCGGGGTCCAGTGACTGAACGATCAACGAGCTTGCCTTGTAACCGATAGGACCCAGGTCCGAATCCCAGAGGGTGTGTGTTGCCGATGATTCCCAAACTAGGCCTAAATAGTTTGCTGTCCAGCACTCTCTGGTTTTCAATGGTTCTCCTACTTATATCAATACGTGGTTAAACTTGAATCCAAATACTGATTTCCAGTCACTTTTGATCTGAAGAACCCACTCAAGTGAACGAAGAAGGCAAACTGGGCCTAGCCGGGGAGAACAATATAAATATGACCAAACTCGGAGAGTTAAGAGAAAAAGTAACTAATGAAATTGATTTCCAAAGGATAGGCCTGAGGATTGCCCGATCAAAGTATTGCTTAAGCCATTCTAAACCAGTTTAGCAGTCAAAATATAGCTCTTTTAAGATAAAAAAAATTAGGTGTATGTAACAGACCTCTATCTCCATTCTTACCGTTTAGATGATGCGAATATTTTTGTTTACTAATGTAAAATTGTTTTAGATCGTATTCAGTTGACAGGTTTCGACGAAATAAAATGATAGTAATACCGAAAACGTTTTGTATAAAACATAATGTCACTACTAGAAATCAGATAACATTGCATTTACGAATAATTCATGATTCGTATGTGTGTATAAGTAGCGTATAAAGTGAAATATGACTGATAAAATTTATAAGTCGTATGTGTGGATAATATGCATTTGGTGAGAAAGGTCGTCTAGTTCACTAGTTCGCTAATTTTCTAGTCAGTCCTAAGCCTGAGAAAGGATAAAAATAAATCTGGTTTCTAAACACACTTTAAAGCACGACAAAAATATGAGAAACAAACTAATTCTTCGCTGGAATCGCAGAGGCGAAATGACACAGCGGGTTGGTCAAAGCCTTCGAGAAGTCAGTCAGCCAGCCGGTGTGTCTTCTCTCGATGAAAGCGAAAATAAGCACTGAGATATGGAATGTTGAGTCAATGTATGTAACTGCGAAGGCTTCCCAGGTAGCCAAAGAAATTAGAAAATACGATATGGAGGTGCTAGGAATCTGAGTGAACAGATGGAATGGATGTGGACTGTCAAAATTGTCAACTAGAGAGTCGGTAATCTGCTTCGGTCTGGTCACCCAGACGACAACCACGGGCACACTGAGGCAGAGAGTGTATATCATGATGCTACCAACAGTACCCAAAGCTCTTATGCAATAGGAACCAATCTCCTCCAGAATAATGACAGCAACATTCAATTCAATAGGAAGGAAGGTTACAACCATCCAATGCTACAAGCCTAAGAACAACTCAGAACAAGAGAAGAAGGAAGATTTCGACATACAACTGCAAACAGTAATGGATAACATCCCAAATGGCGACATCGAAATTCTTATGGGCGATAACAATGCTAAACTGGGAGAAGACAATACAGGAGAAGAACTTACCATGGGCTGAGAGACTCTTGGAGGAATGAACGACAATGGGGAATTCTTCGCAGAATTCTGATCCCTCGACGATTTTGGTGACTGGAAGTGGCATGTACAAGAACAAGGATATGTACAACGCGACATGGATGCACTAAGAGCGAGATAGGCTTCATCTCGATTTCAGGAAAATGGAGATGCGGCCTGCAAGACAAAAAGTTGAGAAGAGCAGATTTGGGCTCAAACCATCATCTAGTTTAAGGAATCGTCAAGTTAAAGCCGAAAGCCTTCAAAATAACTGGAGACAGACCACAATTCAAGTTCAATATTCAGAAACTGAAGGACAAGACTACAAGGGATACCTTCATTGAAGATATCAGAGCAAAGTCAGTGACACTATGTGGTATTACTGAGGTAACCTGCGTGGAAGAACATCAAGCAGACTGCAAATTTTTATTGACAACGATATTAACGTATCCTGTGATTCTTTCGAATTCATCTGGGACTAATTCGTACAGAGTTGAAGATCTGTGGGAGATATTTCGTTGGAGTTCTGTTATGCGTGATTGAATAGAATCGGCACAATTCAATGCATGAAACCTAAATGACTTTGTATTTGTATATATATGATTTCATCGTAATGCTTTTCAGAGACATTTCGGATATTCGCGGTTGTCGACACAATTTTCGAAAAAATTAATTAATCCGAAATGTTTCTGAAAAGTATTATTATATATATTATATATATATATATATTATATATTATATATATATATATATATATACAAATACGAAGTCATTTAAGTGTCATGCATTGAATTGTGCCGATTCTATTCGATCACGCATAACAGAACTCCAACGAAATATCTCCCACAGATCTTCAACTCTGTACAAATTAGTCCCAGATGAATTCGAGAGATTCACGGGATACGTTAATATCGTTGTCAATAAGAAGCTGCAGTCTGCTCTGATCCAGCTCACCGATAGTCTTAGGCCGATAAAACATGACAGTAAGTTTCTTCACGACCCTAAGAAATTAGTGTTTAACTTCTCTTCAGTAAATTTATCTGATTTGCAGCTATAAGCCTTGTCTTTTGGCCTAAAATGTTGTGATATCAAGTTCATCGTTGGCAAACTCAATACTTATGTATAGTTAGAAAATTTAATCAGCCAAACAAATGATCTGATCCCAACTTCTCAAGATGAATTACAACGATCCAAATAAACCATCACCGACTTCTGCCGCCAATATCTCAGTCCGCAACCATTTAACAAAGCGGCACCGAGAATTAAAACAGTTGAAACACAACAAAGAACTGCTAATAACCCGTCCTGACAAGGGTGATGGCGTAGTTCTTTTAGAGCGAAAAGACTACATGGAGAAAATGAAGAGTACACTCTCAGAAAAAAGTAAACTTTCCCAACCTTCCAACAAAAGAAACAAAACTGACCAGCTGATTAGCTGAAATTTTTACGATCGAATCCAACCAACAGGAATAATAATACCAAGGCTTTATAGTTCATCAAAGATACAAAAAGTTGGTCAACCACTCCGTCCAATTCTAGATATGTTAAGTTCCCTTTATCACTCTGCTGCAAGATGGTTGGTTGATATTCTGGAACCTGTAAGGACATATCGATGTACATATTCGCTTCATGACACCTTTCAATTCATCGACTGCATACAATATGTGATTATTACCGACAAAATTATGCTATTTTTCGACATCGAATCACTTTTCACCAAAGTCCCACTTATAAAAGCTGTTATATATATATATATATATATTTGAGAGATGAAAACCAGTTCAACATCGTAATACCAACATATTTAAAAGAACTGCTGCTGAGATGTACTCTCAATGTACAATTCACTTCCAGTGAAACCATCTACAGACAAAAGGACGTTATTGCAATGGGATCTCACCTGGGTCCATTACTAGCACACTGTTTTACGGTTACCCTTAGAATGATCCAATACAGTCGTCCATTGACGATCTAGAACTGTATAAACGGTATGCAGATGACATTTTCATCATTTACGACAACAGCTACGACTTCAACCAATTGCTACAAATATTTAACAACTGCCATCCAGCAATAAAATTGACTCGAGAAATGGAAAACAAGTTCAAAATCCCTTTTCTTGATGTGGAATTACGAAGACGACCCAACGGAACAAGGTTGGTCCGTGGAAATTCTATTTGGAATGGTCAACTAACAAGTTCTTATAGTTGGGAGCCCATTGAACGAAATCTAATTAAATTCCTTGCCACTCGGATCCGACGCATCTACAGTCCTGACACCCTAGAAGCAGAACTAGATCTTTCGAAAGAAACCATCCGAAATGGATACCTAACAAGATTCATCGGCAAGAATATCAGACCAAAAGTCCAGAGGAACGAAACACTACTTATTCCAAAAAAAAACTTAACATGAGCCTGGATTTTAAGGAAGACCTAGCCTACAACATACTTAAAAGAAGAATTCCGACATCTTTGAGAAAATTCTTCGCAGCAACGCTAAGGGTATTTAGTATATGGAAGCCTTAAGGTCAGGATCTCGCATCTGGCCAGTTCTATGTGCACATATCAGTTCACCCGTTGCTATGGAACCAGGTGCATTGGTCGTTCGACGCGTATCCTGTCCAGAAGGATTCGAGAACACCATCCCGCATACCTGCAAAAAAGTAGCAGTGGCTCTATAGGGAGTGCGATCATCGAACACCCTGTGAACAATAACCATTTAATCTCAACAAACGCCTTCTTCAAAGTAATCTGCAGAGTCAAGAATAACCTACCAAAGACAATACGCTTTCGTCTTCCTTGCATCGCTGAAGCCTTAGCCATTCAGTTGGAGAAACCAGAGTTATGCATACAAATGAAAATCATTCAACCACTTCTATTATAATGTCAACAACCGTGTTGATTTCTACTGACTTGATGTTTGTGTGTCTGCTCTTCTAACTCCTCATTACTTATATTTTTTCACAACTCTTACATTATCCCATATTTTCCTTCGTTTCTATGTACATCTTGATCAACACTCGCTCTTCAAATTATTCATCTTACTATGGAGCTACAATACACTTATTCAGCTTCTCTTATACACTGACTAATACTGACAACTACTTTTGTACAAATCATCACCATTACTCTCATACTAATCTGCAACTCCCCTCTAGTAACCATTTGATTACTCATCACATCTTTGTAGCGTCTTCACAACAAAAACCCTAACTTATTTTTATTCTTGTCTGATAAACCCAACGTTCACGCACACATACAGAAGTAATTATATATAATTGCGATGGTACAGCTAAGTGAATGTATTCGCTGAAAAGAGATTCTTCACTGAACTACGTGTTTTATTTTCCAACAATGTCTGGATGGGATTTATTCATGAATTTATCAATATCTATCCATATTATTTATTTTAGACGAGTCAATTTGATGCACTAAGTAAACTGGATCAAAACGAATCACTTCACCGATATAGCACCGGTTGTTATTCAAGAAATAATAATTCTTCATTTAGCACACGGAAATGTTCAACATCGGATGGTGTTGGTGATAATATTACATTAAATTCTGAACAGCCATTTTCATCCTGTATACAATCTTAACATTTTAATCAAGTATTCTCACGGATATATTCGCGTCACTACACCCTTTGTACCTTGGTCTACGCCTAGAAAACTATCTCATAAACCACTGCGGATTAGTAATGAATTAAGACAGTTACTAGGAAAAGGAAAGAACTTATGGGACCGGCTTATTGTGACTGGGAGGGATGAGTTTTGGATGGAATACAGCGAAATTCGAAACCTTTGTAAGTATAGGATTGACAAAATTCGTATAGAGTGTACGAGATTTATAAAGTTATATTTGTAAAATCTCAGCGAAATTGAAATGATTATTTTGCAACTATCCGGTCAAATCTTGATCACAGTTCGTATGAAGTGTACGAGATAGTTAGTAGTGGATTGTGTGCATTATCCAAAAAGACTGTACTCGTATATCAAACGCGACTAAAACTAGAAGTGGTATATCGTCTCTCATTAGCAATACTGGAGAGGCGGCCGAGTCAGACGAAACAAAAGCTCAAAAGCTCTCCGAATACTTTCGTGATGTTTTCTCGCCTAATCGTACCACTTAGGGGTGTAGCGAGATCACTGATGTAGCCACTAAAATGCCCACAATTGTGGTAGAGGATGCAGTGGTTCTCAAACTACTGTCGAAGCTGAAGCCAGGTAAGTCACCTGGACCAGACGGACTTCACCCTAGATTGCTAGTCTCCTTAGCGGATATAATATACATCCCACTTACGGAGATTTTTGAGATGTCTCTGACCCAGGCTAGGCTACCCAGGGGCTGAAAAGATGCTTTTTTAGCCCCATTTCAAAGAGGGAAACAGGCAGTTAGTATTTAACTACCGGCATGTAAGTGTACCTGTATTATAGCAAAGATGTTAGAAACACTCATAAGGGATCAGCTCTTAGTTCATATGGAAAAAAAAGCTTACTAGCAGTGGAACAGCATGGACTCCGACCAGGAAGATCCTGCTTGATAAACTTACTGTTAGCTAGGGAAGATTGAGTCGAGGCCAGGGGTAAGAACCATCTATTAGACGTTGTCTTTATCGATCTTAGTAAAGCATTCGATAAGGTATCCCATTTAGGTCTCCTTAGTAAGCTTAAACGTTTTGGATTAGACCAACGCTTATGTAAGTGGTTTAGCGACTACCTGATGGATAGAAGGCAGAAAGTAAGGGTTAGTGGTGTACTATCAGGATAGAAAACAGTACCAAGTGGAGTACCTCAGGGAACTGTACTTGGTCCCTTCTATTCCTATTATACGTAAATGAAGTGCCGAAAATTCTTACCTCATCTTCCTTGCTATTTGCGGACGATATTAAGATATGGAAAGCCGTAAATAGCAACGATGATAGGTCGATACTACAAAACGATCTAGATAAATTACCTGAATGGACTAACCTTTGGAGTCCGGAAATTAATTCCAAGAAAAGCGCGGTAATGCACCAAGTTCAGAAGTCTTACACGTCATACTCCCTGGGGGGGGGGCAGAACTGTCAGATGTTAGGGGACAAACGGAATTGGGAATTATTGTAAGCCATGACTTAAAAATAAACGGCAAACTGTAATCGAGGCGCAGCTAAAGCTTTTCGAATGCTATGGGCACTTCGAACGGCTTTCGAATGATTAGACAAGGGTATGTTCCAAGTACTCTATGCAACATATGTCAGACCTCATCTTTAATACTGCAAACAAGCGGTGAGTCCATGCTCCAAAAAGGAGGCATATACCCTGGAAAGAGTATAAAGCATGGGAACAAAATTAATTAGTGGTATCTCACACCTTCCTTATGATAAGAGGATGGCGTATTTAACTCTCTTCCCACTATCATACCGAAGGAGAGGCGACTTAATTTTGGCTTACCGTATATTAAAGGGTGATCTAGGGATTCACCTTACAAACCTTTCCTCACTGTCTAGGATACATTTACGAGGTCACAACAAGGTGCTCAAACCGAGGTCGAAGAAAATACGTGTGGAATTTAGATTCTCTCAGAGTTATCGACGACTGGGACTCCCCACCTTATTCAGTAGTAACAGCTACATCGGTTAACGCTTTCAAAGAGAAACTGGATATATATCGCGAGGATTAACAAAGGCAACAAGAGCATTCTATCCTTATAATCTGAATCTAAAATATTTTGATGACGTAAACAACAACCCAGACAAATTTTTATTCTTGTCTAAAAAAGCTGGTGTACACACACATACAAAAATAATTATACATAAGTGCGATTGTACAGCTAGGTGAATGAATTCTCCGAAATGAGTCTTCGCTGAATTACGTGCTTTTTCATTAGTTTGATATATACCGTTGGTTTTACTCATGGCTTAACATCTGGGCTGATTAATTCAGACTGGTGGCGATGTACTATAATTGGGTATTTAAAGTGGTTTGTGACTACTTGTGAGATATATATATTCCTGCGAAGCCATTCAGTGTCTTTTAGTCAATCATTCACTTGGCCCCTTAGATTTTAATCCCATCAGAATCTACATTGAAAATATCTATTTACATTCGCTTAAGATCACCCTGACACTAAGTTAAGTTCTATGCATTCTGCACGCGTCTACCATTAATAATTAGTGGTTTCACATCATCAGCTAGGGAGGTTATCTGGGAATACAAAACGCACTGTTTGATTTCAGGTAAAATGCGAACAACAACACAACAATAGCAAACACTTTAGTATCCTCTAACACCATTATTCTTTAAGACGATATCACGCTTACACAATACTTGTAACACCCAGAAGCAACAGACACAGTCAGCGAAGGAAGAAGAGGAAGATGCGAGAGGAAGGTCTATATTTCCAGCACGCAGGGCTCGAATTGCCCGGGTACAAGCTAATCAGTGTCATTTATAACAAGGTTAGACAAACAGTCCTCCACCTGTTCCAGCACGGCCAGGCCAGCGTTCTTATCTGAAAAAGAGGAAACAGGAGACTCATTTAGTGATGTCATGTTAGTTTTTATATCATTACATCGCTCCCTCCCCTCTGGAGGCACTGTCCTCAGTGCCTGGCGGCGGTATAGGGTATGCACTACCTCCATCAGTGGGCACCTCGAAGTAGGTCGTAGCTGGTGGCGGTTGCGAAGATGTCGACGGTTCTTTGACAGCTGGTGGATAGTGTGGTTTCAGCTGGTTGTAATGTGCTGAGATGAGATTTTCCTGGGGGCGTCGCAAGTTCCGCAGGACATATGTAGTTGGAGGTCGGTGTTGTACGATTTCATATGGACCTTTCCAGGGGGCGTAGAACTTGGGGCACGAACCGGCAGGGACTGACGGCCGATGAAGCCAGACGTAGTCACCCGGGGAATAGGTTGGTCCGTGGGCAAACCGATCATAGTTGCTTTTCTGATGCTGCGAAGAAGACTGCAGATGTCGACGTGTTAGGTTGTAGGCTGTGTCGAGGTGGTGACGAAGGTTGCGGACGTAGGGAATACAGTCGATCTTCTCGTATGGTAGCAACGGTGTCCGGATCTCAACAGGAAGGCGAAGTTCATGCCCAAACAAGAGTAGAGCCGGGGAAAATCCGGTCGACGAATGCACGGAGGAGCGGTATGCAAGCAAGCATTGAGGCAGGACATCGTCCCAGGTGTTCTCCGGTGCGTTGTGCAAAAAGGCACGAAGGAGATGCTTGATGGTTCGGTTGGTGCGTTCCACCAGTCCATTCCCTTGTGGATGATAAGGCGTAGTATGGGTCTTTCGAATGCCGAAAGCATTGCAGATGTGAGAGATAAGAAGACTCTCGAAAGCAGCGCCTTGATCAGAGTGTAGATAAAGAGGGGCACCAAAACGGGACACCCAGTTGTCGATGAAAGCTCGCCCGATCGTCAGGGCATCTTGTTGCTGCAAGGGGACTGCTTCGCACCACTTGGTGAAATAGTCGACCATGACAAGTATATAACGATTCCCGCGTCTCGATGTTGGTACTGGCCCAATGATGTCGACTCCAACTCGATGATTAGGGGCTTCGGTCAGCATAGGTACTAGGGGTGCTCGGGGAGTTGGCTTAGGCTGTTTGATTTGCGCACATATAGCGCAATTGCGGCAAAACTCCATAACATCATGGTGTATAAGTGGCCACCAGAAGCGTTGACGGATGGCGTGTTCAGTTTTCTGTTGGCCAGCGTGTCCCAGTTGATGATGCACCTGACTAATAAGCTCGGGTACTTTAACAGTTGGGACGAGGAGTCGGGGGTTGGCATTTGGTTCCACTATGTAAAGAACATTATCTATAAGTCGTAGTAAACCCCACTTCTCGCAGATGCACCGCGTGGCTGCTGGTAAATCCCGTAGTTCTTTGGACGTCGGTTTATCGTTCCCATGCTGTTGACGTAAATAAATGGGCTGTATCGTTGTGTCCGCCGCTTGCAGGGAGGCCCAGTCGGTGTCAGCTGCAGCACCGAGTAACACATTCAGTGTGTTCTCGCAATCGGGCAGGCGAGAGAGAGAGTCGGCGTTACCATGTCGTTTTCCAGGCCGGTATTCACAAATGAAATCAAACTCCTGTAACCGTTCCTGCCAGCGGGCAAGTTGGCCGTCGGCATCACGAAAATTTTGCAACCACTGTAACGCCTTGTGGTCAGTCCGGACTCGAAATTTGCGCCCCAATAAGTAATGACGAAAGTAGGAGAGGAAGTAGACGAGGGCTAGCATCTCACGTCGCGTCGTCGAATACCGCGTCTCTCTTTTGTCTAGCATCCGACTAGCATATGCTATCACTCGTATTTGTCCGTCAGAGGTTGTTTGCGAGAGAACGGCTCCTATTGCATGTGCACTGGCGTCGGTATCCAGAATGAAGGGCCCGCTACCAGCCGATGTGTCTGGAAACGATAGGACAGGGGGAGAAGTTAGACGTTTTTTAAGCGTGTCAAAGGCTACCTGGCACTCATTTGTCCAAACAAATTTCCGTCCTTTTTCTGTCAAGCGATGGAGAGGGGCTGCTATACTGGCGAAATTCTGGACGAAACGCCGGTAATAGGAGGCGAGTCCCATGAAACTGCGTACGTCAGTGGTCGATTTAGGGGTCGGCCAGTTAAGAACTGCTTGAGTTTTGCTGCTATCCGTATGTACTCCTTGTGGAGTAATCTCATGTCCAAGGAAATTAACAGATTTCTGCAGGAATTTGCATTTCGAGGCTTGCAGCTTAAGGTTACTCTCGCGTAAGCGTTGAAATACGGCGCGAAGGTTGGCATGATGGTCTTCGAGAGACTGGCCGAACACGATGATATCGTCCAGGTAGATGAGGCACTTTTTGGGGACTAGCCCTGCAAGTACTGTTTGCATGAGCCGTTGAAACGTAGC